GGATATTTAAAACTGTGTTTTTTTTAACCTTACAGTCTTTAGACCATTTTATAATGGAAAGATTAAATCATTTTATTGATACCGCGATGCTGTTAAACGAAACATGTTCATGTATACTAAGTAAAACTACTTCTGAAATAAGCATTCTACCAGCAAAGTGCAGCTATACCAAAACAGCTAAACAAATAGGAAGCTAAACGGAATATGCCATAGTAGACTTATTTTAATTTAAAAATTCTATCGTTACCTTAATCCACCTAATATCAAGAATGGAACCAGATTTAGTACAGAAAGTGATGATCAATATATATTAGTTAATGTACGATCAAGCTAAAAGTATGGCTCATAAAATGCCTTAATTTAAACAGAAAGAAAAAAGCTTTTCTCCTCTAATTTATGCTGAACTGAATATTTGTATTACTGATTTATGTTTTGATATGTTTACCCCGAACGACGTCGCACTATGGGACTACAGCGGCCAAAAGTAGTAAAAACAGATAAGCGAATTCTGAAAAAATAATTACGCAGATGCATAGCAAAATATCCAGCTAACCCAAACCAAAAAGAATTTTGGATGAAAATGCATATTTGCAATCATGATACGAGCTTAAAGTAGGAGCAATGCGAAAAAATATATTTGTTAGAAAAGATTTTCATTTTGTCGCAAGTAATTTGAATTCATTTTTCCACTTGTGCGGATATATAAAAAGCCAATCTGATTGATGAGCAGTTTTTGAATATATCTGTGGTCAAACATTGCTTTAAATTTTTATACATCTTTTGAAATGTATAAAACAGTTTACCTTAAAATTCGACATAATTTTGTGAGTGTAAAATTTTTCGAGTGCTTAATTTAAAAAGGGATATTTAAAAAGGACCTAGGAGGCGAGCTAAATTATACTTAGGACAAGTAAACATTAAATATGTGTGTCATATCTCAAATAGTTCCAGCTGCGAGGAACTGCGAGTTCAGCTTCTATTCTTCCTTTTATAGACCCATCTCCTGTAAAATTTATTGAATTTTTATTGTAGAGCAAAAAGGAAAAACTCTGATATGTACATAAAATGAAAGATATGCAATATAAAGTGGAAATTAAAGAAGGTTTAGATATTAATGACTCGCCAATCTATTACTCCCAATCAACGTTCAGCCAAAAATGGACGTTTCTCTGGACGGGATCCGTTTTCGATGACAAGAGTCCTGCTTGCCTTAGCTCAGCTTTTGTTGTATAAAATGTAGGTAAAATTTAAAGTTTCAGTGTAAATACATATCGTGCACATAATTTAATTTGCAGGTATTGTAAATGTTTTCGCTTTGTCATTTTTAAAATGAAGAAATAGGAAATTCTTTAGAAATAAAATAAATGTGCCTGTTCATTTTCTCCAAAATCCATACAATTTAGTACTTGGAGCCAAAAAAGCTGAGTAGGAGGTGAGCGCCGTAATAAGAAGCTCTTTATTATGTTCCAAGTTGGAAAATTTAGGCTTAAACGAGCAGGGCACACCGAATTTCATTAAAAAAATTTTTTTTTTTAATTGCGCCTGTTTTTCTAGAATTACTGGGCGATAATGTAAACCGATTTTGACGATCTTTCAGATTTAAGCTTTTCTCATTAAAACCAGCATATGCTCTGAAGTTCATCAAAATCGGATAACATTTACTATTTCCGCCCACAAGAGTTGTGGGCGTGGTAGCGCGTTGAATTTTACAAATTTTCCACAGTTCATCATTCCTAAGTGCCGAACAGCCCATATACGAAATTTCAGCGAATCTTTAGTACGGTTACTACTTTTGGCCGCAGCTTATATGGGGACGTCCCACTGTGCGTCGCACAGTGTATTATTTCCATATTCTAGAAAATATTAATTACATTATTTTATGTCGCCAAATTTCAAAACAACGTCAAAAATGTTTTTAGAAATGCCTGATAAAGACGAAACAATAACAACTATAAAATGTAAATCAAAGTGTAGGGCGGGACGGGGTTTGATATGGAAAATTACCAAGCGCAGTAATATTTAAACTTGTATATTTGAAACAAAATTTCAGTGTTTAATTCGTCGGTGTTATGTGATTTATGCAACAACTGCTAAATTACCATTTTGGCCTTCTTTTTTTAGGTATATTCTTTTTAATGAATATACATTTTTGAGATTTTAGTAAACTAGGACTGAGTATTTCATGTTAAAGTAAAACGATGTTAACTTAAATTTATTTTTAGCAATTTATTAATTTCATTAGACCGGAAAACTCGTTATCCGCCACTATTCGATAAATTTAGTATTTCAGTTTATTTGGCACTCCTCTTAGACTTTAAACAACAAGTTTTGATGAAATTTTCTTTTTTCAGGCCTACTAGGATTTTTATTTTTTTCGAGTAATTCATTTGAATTTTATCTCAATCGAGACAAATTCTTGTATTTTCGCTTTGAATAGAGAAAGGCTTATTCATTACCTTTCCAATGGTATCCCATTTTTGTAAATAGAGCAAGAAATGTTGAACTTATAATGGAGTTTTGTTGACCCAACTTGACTTTTTTATCGATATTTTCCACGCCCATACTTAAAAAAAATTAAATATTTATTTTTAAGTCCATTTCTGTCAGATTATAATTCCTTGTTATAGGGAAAGTCTAAATATCAATTTGGGCGTTTAAGCCTTTGTAGTTAGTTAAATATTTCACTTTTTGCTTATTTAAAAATTGCAGTTATATAACAGGGTGGCGTGACAATAACTCTAAATAACCAATTTTTTGTAAAAAGCTTCGCCTATCTTATAACATACCTTGTGCAAAATTTCAGTAATCTATCTTCAATAGTTTTCGAATTACAGAATTAAAAGCAGCTAGATGGGTCAAATCTTACACTGTGCGTCGGGTGCTCTGCTAGTCTATACAAGGTTCGTGGAGGGTGAGCTCTCTGATAAACAAAAAAATTTCAGGTATAAGTGTCACCGTTTTTGAAATATTAACATTTTTTTAAATTAAAAAAAATTGTGCCTTTTCATGTATTTTCATTAACTGCATCTACAAACCAGGTTATACTTAGTAAATTGTTTATGTAAAATACCGTCAGATAGTTGCTTGTTCATATTCAAATGCAATGTAGTTAAAATATATTAAGGAACCATCATAAAATTAGGATGATTTTGGGATTTTTAACTTTTTGATATTTTCTTCCCAAACTTTGACTATCTCTGGTGAAAATAAAATGTACTGAGCTATAACTTTAGATTACATAAAAAAATTTCTCATTTAAAAAAGATTTCAGAAAGGTGCCACTGTTACTGTTTCGAATAGAAAAAAAAGTTATAGCCGCTTTTGTAGGCAAAGGACTGAGACACGCTAGAATGTATTTAATAGATTTAAATTTAAGTTGCCCTTGTTACCGACCAATGACATGCCAAATAATACACAGGTACATTATTACCTGCTCCTGACATTATTTTATGTTACTTACCGGAATTAGTGAAAGTGGATTTTGTGAAATTGGACCCTTCGAACATTGTGTTATTAATACTATGACGCAGTATACGTCGCATGAATATGCGGATATTCACCTAATTTACGGTGAAGCTCGGAGCTGCTCAAAGACTCTATTTTTACACCTTTCTTGTTTGCTTGCTTGTTAACTATCATTTTTCACATTTTTAAGGTCGCATACCTGGAAGGCGTGGCGGCGAAACAGGACGTCCTGCAACGGTAGATGTTGAAGTTGTGTTAGAGGAAGTGGAACTAGGTCCATCGACTTCAGTGGGAATGATGGAAAGACGGACGGGAATACCAAAAACTACAGTTCACAAAGCTTTAAAAGACCATCGATTTCATCCCTACCACATTCAACGTGTTTAGGCTCTACAAGAAAGAGATTACCTGTCGAGGGTTAGATTTTGCCGTGAAATGTTTCGAATGCATGAATCAGACCCCAGCTTTTTTAATAAAATAATTTAGAGCGATGAATCGTGATGCAAACGTGATGGTTATTTTAATTTACATAACCTTCGTAGTTGGCAGATAGACAATCCTCACGAAATGAGAGAAGATCGTTCCAGTACCGGTACAAAATAAATTTATGGTGCGGTATTTTTAATTGTGAGATATTGGGACCTGTGGAACTGCCACCAACGCTCAACTCTTACAGTTATTTAGAGTTCCTTCAGGAACGGCTTCCAACTCTTTTAGAAGATGTACCCTTAAACCTGCGGCGAAGACTATGGCTGCAAAATGACCTGTGCCCTGCTCACTACGGGCGTGAGGTAAGAGCTCATTTAGACGAAACTTATCCTAGCCGATGGATTGGACGATACGGACCAATCACGTGACCCGCTCGATCGCCAGACCTGAATCCATTAGATTTTTTCTACTGGGGCTGTCTTAAGGCCAAAATTTATTCAAAAACAATTCAAAACGAAGAGCATTTGCGGGAACAAATAAATGGAGCTGCTGCTGAGATAGCCCAATTGAGTTTAAGATCTCTAAAATCGTCTGTTCTTAAAAGGTGCCGAACTTGTATTAGAGTAGAAGGTCGCCAATTTGAGCATATTTTATCAATAAATGAATAAATTTTTCTTCAAACAACTCATGTACATTTTATTTCACGTGAACCAATCCTTCACAAAAAATATTGATAGATATAGGCCTTGTTATAGACTCTAGTCCGAATTCCGGTAAGTAACATAAAATAATGGCAGGAGCAGCTAATAATGTACCTTTGTACTATTTAACATGTCATTGGTCGGAAACAAGAGCAACTTAAATTTAAATCTATTAAATACATTCTAGCGTGTTTCAGTCCTTTGCCAACAGAAGCGGCTATAACTTTTTTTTTTCTATTCGAAATAGTAAGAGTGGCACCTTTCTGAAATCTTTATTAAATGATATAATGTATTAGAAATATATTTTAATTATTTTTTTATATACGCATATATTTTGCATGTGATTATATATACCTAAGTACATACTTTGAAGACATAATTTTTGTACATGCTTATTTGTTCTACTTTTGGCTATATTCATAATTAAATATAACCCTCTTAACTGAATTTTTGAGTTTTATTACTTCGGGTGAATTAATATATATTTTTTTTTTAATTTTGGTTTTTCGAATTTTTCTTTCGAGTTGATTTTAAATGCACATTTTAATAACATTTCTTAGATACCTTTATACTTAGATTTATAATTTGTAAATTTTTATTTGCCATTTTGAATTTTGGATTTTTGGACACTTTCTGTGTTGAAATTTTCCGGGACTTCGCTTTCTCATATTTTTTTTTTGCTCTTTCGGAAGTCGAGTATTCGACTTCGGCGCTTTTGGAAATAGTTTGCTATTCCGGTTGTAAATTTATATTATTTTTATTTTAGTTGAATTATTTACTCGAGTTTTCATTGAGTTTTTTTTTAGAAAAAAGTGAATTTTTGAATCCCTAGTTTTGTGGTGAGTTTCGTATTTTTTATATTCATTCCTTATTTTGTGTAACCAAGAAATTTTGAGGTTTTTTCGGTTCTTTTTTACATTTTCTTATTTTCAATCTGGATTCCGATCTCTGTTTAATTTTACACGAGCTGCTAATTTCTTGCTAGGTTTTCTGCAGTTATCCGATTGCAATTAATATTTTTCTTGAAATTTTATTTTAATTTGATTTGAAGTTTAGCTCTGATTTTTTTTTCTTTATACTATATATAAATATATTTAGTTTTATTAAGCTCTTTCTGAGGGCTTGGGCGGTTTTTTTTGGTCTTTTGAATACTTTCTTCGTTTAATTTTTTTCTCAATACCTGCATTTTTACTGAATTTTATCACCTTTGTATTTTATATTTATTATCATTTGTATTTTTTTCTTTGGTATTTTTTTAATTTTGAATTTTTTAGGCTTTACAAGGTAGATTTGAATTTATAAGCTTCAATTAATATTTTTGGGTGAAGTGGCCTGTGTAAGATAGGTGTGTTGGCCTGAGTGAATGGAAGAACGTGAGGGAGAAGAGCGAGTGATTCCTGGTGGGTTAGGACTGCTAGACTCAAACCTCAGTAGTATGGTACGAACATTAGAGAATCAAGTGGTTGGGTCCCTATTTACGCAAATTGATACTGGTGTGCCATATACTGTTGACTTTGTGCCTGTTGATGCAAATGTCTAAGCGGGAGCAGCAGCCAGGGGAGAATATGCAGTCCAGGGGGTTCGAAGTCGAATGATGGTGGACCAAGTTCTACATCCATCAGTGTCGAACAGCTGAGCCGCTTAATGGCAATGATGGCACAACAAGGTGACCTACGAATGAGATCCGCCACATACGAGAAAATGTTGTAACTTTAAATAATAGAGTAGGCGAAGTAAAGACCTCGATGCAGGGAAACGGTAATAGACCGGTTATGGTGTCCTAACCAGAAACTCGACGCGATATAAATGGTGAAAGCATCAATGGAGCAGAGGAGCAGAATTCCAGTCACCCGCGTTGACATAATGAAAATAGAAGTAGGAAGATCAATTTAGACAAATTGCACGTACAATTTGATGGTACTAGCAAAGGTATGATGGTGGAAAGCTTCATTTTTCGTATAGAAAAAATGAGGGAGCAGTATGGCATTAGCTACTACCAGTCATTCACCGACTTCCACTGCATAGTCACCGGTAGCTACTTAAAGTGGTATTGGCAGGTGCTCGAAGACCACGCTGATGAACCTGACTTTGGTTACTTCGAACTAAAGGCCGAACTGCTGAACCATTTTAGGACCGCCGAGTTGGACTATGAGATTATGAGGGAAATCATGAAGAGGAAACAACTGCCCCATGAAAGTTTTGAAGATTTTTATAGCGATGTACATAATTTAACCTTTCGTCTCAGGAAGAGGATCCCCGAACAGGAGCTTGTCAACATCATTAGAAGCAACCTCAAACCAAACCTGTCAAATTTAACCTTCGCTTCAAAAATGAGCACATTAGGTGAACTCAAATCTGAGTGTAAACGAGCCGAAAAGTTATTAAGGAAAATAGGGGGGGTGACAGGTAATAACATCAACGGAAATAAGGTCAATTGACTTTATTTCCCACCCTAGTGCGAAATAAAGTCAATTGACATTATTACCTTTTTAAAAAACGAAATAAAATCCATTGACATTATTTCTCTTTCAAACATTAAATTTGCTTAGCTTCGCGGCGGCCCCCGTCAGCCCGCACCCCGCGCGCGCCGCGCGTGCCAAGTTTTCACGTATTATATTTGTTGAACTCTTGTTATATTTTTAAATAAAAATATAGTTCATTCTTTAACAAAACCCGTGGAAATCGACGGTGCAGCGAACAAGGGTGGCGCCGTCAGTGGTACCGCTACTTTGGTTTTGCCGATTTTGACAGTTGTGGTAACTTGTAAATAAACCTTTGTTTACAAATCAGCGAAAGAGAAATTTGAATTATAAGTGAAAAATCAGGTTAAATTGTATTAATTTTCAATTTGTGAGCGATTTTTGAGTTGAAGACTTCGCAAAAACTAATACAATGAAGTGCCAAGATGTAAGAAGCGTAGATGCAAGTGTAGCGCTGGGACGAATCGCTGCATTTTGTGTACATAGGGCACGGCAAAGCCGCTCCCGAAATGTTTCTCTATTATTATATAAACAGCATTTCCTCACAATGATTTTGTTTCTGCTCCACGCAGCCTCCATTAGCAAGTTAACTAATCAATCCCGCAGAGATGCTGTTGTTGTTTTCTGCAGCAGCCTTAATTGCAAAGCAATAAAGTGCACTAAAACGTTTGCTGAAGCAGGCTCAATTGCAAAGCAATGGGGTGCACTAAAATGTTCACTGTTCTCTAATAGATTAGGAGAAAAATGCAATATTTTCGCATTTAGCAAAATTAAAACACATTTTTCGCAGTAAAGTGAACTGTTTTGGCAGTTTCAACTCGTTATTCTTTTCGCTCTATTCTTTGTTTACTAGTGGTACACAAATGTCAACGCCCAGGACGTCGCAATCTTGTATTCTATCATTCTTGGTGGAAATCCATGTTTCCAAATTTGAGCAGTCCACTTGCAAAGGCGCTATGTAAATTTTTTTAGATTTTTAGTTTTTGGTGAGTAACGTACCAGTATTTAAAGTAGTTTCATGTCCACTAACAATATAGTGCAAAATCTTTCTATTTTCTGAAAAAATAACATCAAATGTTAACTACTATTGCAAAAGTCGCTATAATACTTATTTATACACTTTAAAAAGTCTCCATCTTCTGATGAACTTAGAAAACTGCAAGAAGACGTGGTAGTTTCGGTGCCTAGTGGAAGGCGGTAAAAAAGAAGCAGACCAATATTCATGGAAGAGCGAACGCGAAAAGCTAAAAAAAGATAGCTATTATTATTATTTATGGATCACTATTATAAAATCACATAACGCTGTTTGCAAGTGGACTACTCATTTGTGCAATATTAAAAAAAAAATTCAACAAACTTACGAACTAATTTCGCACTTTTAAAAATTCTAAAAAATCAATCGACATTTTTAGCCATTTGAAACGTGTACTTTATTCTACTAGAATTCAATGGGCTACAAAACTGCATACTCAGAATTTAGTTAAAAAACTCGAAATTTTAACGAAAATTTGTAGATTTTTTTTTTAATTGCATAATTGGTACATTTGTACAGATTTGTAAATTTTTATATTGGGCTATTGGTAAAAAAAAAGTGAGACATTTTTTTTTGCATTCAAAAGATTGGTACAATACAGCGATGTTCTATTGAAAAATTTCAATAAATTAATTTTCGTGATTGGGATAATGAAAAATATTTTGGGTGTTCAAACAATTGGGATACGATTTACACCAAATTTTAGCAAATACCCAATCGTGTGACACTGCCTTTAAACTTGTATTTATACGGATGTTGGTAAAGAACGAACTATAAAAAACTAACCGAAATTAAATAACAACAAAAATAATATTTTAAAACTTGTCAAAATTTGGTGCGGCTATAATTTTTTCGACTACTGTACATAAGTTGGCTATGATTACTCGGCCGTGCTATCATAGTAGCACAATGCCACTCATATTTGACTTACAAACAAACTACGGGCAGGAATTTCAAGATTTCAACCCTGTTTTTATGAAAATTTTTATTTTTATAAGTATTTTTCTTTTAATCAAAATATGTTGAAATAAAAGTGAAACTAAAAAAAATTTGGCTTTATTTTATTGATAAATGTGAATGACTAAAAGGCATAACACCTTTTTTGGCACTTTTATTTTTCTCTTTGGCACATTTTGGCACTCATAACTAAGGATAGTTGGCAGCCCTGATTGGAAGATTTCTGCTGGCAACAACTTGTCTGCAGTTAAAAGGCATATAATTTGTGTTTCAAAAGTGTGTGAAAACCAATCAATTAACTTATATGATCTCAGTTCCGATATTAAATAATCAATAATTGTTTATACTCGCATTTTGGCACATTGGCTCGTTGAATGTGCCATCTAATAAATAGTGTCGTCATTCTACTTCTCTTCTTCTTAATTGGCGCTGTAACCGCCTAAGCGATTTTGGCCGAGTCCAAAACAGCACGCCAGTCATTTCTCTTCTGTGCTAACTGACGCCAATTGAAAATGCCAAGTGAAGCCAAGTCCTTCTCCACCTGGTCTTTCCAACGCAGAGGAGGCCTTCCTCTTCCTCTGTTACCAGCATCGCGGCCCGCGTTGAATATTTTCAGAGCAGGAGCGTTTCTGTCCATCCGAACGACATGGCCAAGCCAGCGGAGCCGCTAAATTTTAATTCGCTGCACTATGTCTATATCGTTGTAAAGCTCATACAGCTCATCGTTAAATCGTCTGCGATATTCGCCATCACCAACGCGTAAAGGTCCGTAAATCTTTCGCAGAATCTTTCTCTCGAAAACTCCAAGAGCCGCCTCATCAGATGCTTTCATTGTCCATGCTTCCGCGCCATACACCAGCACAGGCATGATGAGTGACTTATAGAGTGTGATCTTTGTACGACGAGAGAGGACTTTACTTCTCAATTGCCTACTCAGCCCAAAGTAGCACTTGTTGGCAAGAGTGATTCTCCGTTGGATTTCAAGGCTGACATTATTATTGGTGTTAATGCTGGTTCCCAAATAAACGAAGTCGTCCACTTTTTCAAACTTGTAACTGTCAACAGTGACGTGGGTGCCAAGACGCGTATGCTCTGACTGTTTGTGTGCTGACAGGAGATACTTCGTTTTGTCCTCGTTCACCACCAGACCCATTCGCTTTGCTTCTCTATCCAATCCCGAGAAGGCAGAACAGACGTAGCCCTTGTTTTTACCGATAATATCGATGTCGTCGGCATACGCCAGCAATTGTACGCTCTTATAAAGTATTGTGCCTGAGCGGTTCAGTTCTGCGGCTCTTATTATCTTCTCCAACATAAGATTAAAGAAATCACACGAAAGGGGGTCCCCTTGTCTGAAACCTCGTTTGGTATCAAACGGCTCGGAGAGGTCCTTCCCTATTCTGACGGAGCTGGTGGTATTGCTCAACGTCATTTTACACAGCCGTATTAGTTTCGCGGGGATACCAAATTCAGACATCGCGGCATAAAGGCAACTTCTCTTCGTGCTGTCGAAAGCGGCTTTGAAATCGACAAATAGATGGTGTGTGTCGATCCTATTCTCGCGGGTCTTTTCCAAGATTTGGCGTATTGTGAATACCTGATCTATGGTGGATTTTCCAGGCCTAAAGCCACACTGATAAGGTCCAATCAGCTCGTTGACGGTGGGCTTCAGTCTTTCGCACAATACGCTCGATAAGACCTTGTAACCTATGCTTAGAAGGCTAATTCTACTTAGCTGCTTTTAAAACACAGAATTCTTTCAGTGTTCCTCCGGGGTTTTTGGACATGGACTGTTTCTTCAATTTAATAGTGTTCGCTTTACACTCTTTCTTAAAATTTTCCTCGTATCCCAGCTGTGCGCAGGCGTTTAGTTTTTCGCATCGTGTTTTTACATATTCGTAATTTAAATTTGTTTAATAAAATCAATTGGTGGTAGTTCATGATTGTGTGTGGATTAATATCACAACACTGAGGATTTGGCAATAACCTTTTTCATCTATTAAAAACAACACTTACGGGACAATGTTTGTTGTANTTAGAAGTCTTCGATTAACTCCTTTTCCCCGTTTCACCTAATGTTATGTTTCTCTTATGGTGTGCCTGTAGATTATTATGTTAAGAACCCCGTAGAGTCCCGTAGTAAATGTAAGTGTTCATTCCACGATATGGTCTGTTTCGTGTATGTTCATCGTTTTGTGCATTTAAGCCTAGTCAGGAAATCAGAAACTGGCGGAGCTATACGGGAACTTGCGCCAGGAGGAGCTCCCGGATTCAACACAGTGAAAATTCTTAAACGAGAGGTAGAGAATAAGGAAAGGGAGCAGAAAGAAATATTAGCAAACTAGGTAGTAAAAAGCTTGCATCAGAGAAAGCTGGGATATGAGGAGGCGCGTAGACGCATATTTTGTGAGTAAATTCTTCAGAAAAAGAAAACGAGAAACTATAAACTGATCAAGAATATGAGAGCAAAGAAGAATAATATGAAAGAATTTGTCAGATGATAATCTCAACAATCGTTACTATTAAAGGAGATAACAGGTTCTTCGCCAAAACAAAATTAGGAGAATAGGAAGTATTAGCCTTATTGGATTCAGGAGCAGATGCTAATTGCCTAGGCAAGAATACTGACAAGCTTAGGAGGGCAAAGAAAGTATTATACTACCTATTAAGGGGCAGAATATCCGAACCGCGAACGGTGGAGAAACTGCGGTAGTGGGTGTAATTACTCCCCCGTTTTGTGGGATAAGATAATGCGAGATTTGGAGTTCTCGATCGCACCTGGCTTGCAACAAGAATTGTATTTAGGTATAGATTTTTGGAAGGCGTTTAATATGAGTGTTGTTAGTAGAGGAGGCGCTCCTAGCATGAATGGCGCTAGTGTTTCAGAGCTTGTGCACGCCGAAGGAGACCTCACCTTAGACGCAGTGCAACATGTCTTGAGTCACGATCAAACTGTGGCATTAGATCGTGTGAAGGCACATTTCCCGTCCTTCGCCGTATTCGGACTAGGCAAGACAGACAAAGATGATGATGTAATAGAAGTGACCAACGAGAACCTTCCAGTAAAGCAGAGGCACTATCCAATATTCCCAGCCATTCAGAAACTTGTTTATAATGAATTAGATCGAATGCTTGAGATCGGAGTAATAGAAGAGTCAAACAGTAGATGGAGCTCGCCAGTTTCACTCGTTATAAAAGGGACCAAAAATCGCCTCTGTCTGAAGGCTCGCAAGGTAAACGACAGGACCATTAAAGACGCTTATCCACTGCCTCACATTGATGGTCCCCCAAGCCGATTGCAGAATACTAGATTTAATTCTGGCATATACCTTTAGAGAAAAAGTCCAGGGAGAAAACGGCATTCACCGTACCAGGTCATTTCACGGTCAGTTCATTTGGGTTGCAATGCAGCACAACGTATGTATAGGCTCATAGACAATGCCATGCCCGCTAATCTTCATGAATCTGATCTGTGTTTGTTTATTTGGATGACTTACTTGTGTGTTCGGAAGATTTTGTGTTCCATTTGTCCTTGTTAGAAAAAGTCGTCAAATGTCTCCGTGAAGCTAAACTAACAATAAACGTTGAAAATAGCAAATTATGTTTTAAGGGGGTACGGTATCTTGGGTACGTCGTGGATAACGGTTGCATCCGTACAGACGCAATCAAAGTCGCAGCCATGAATGATTTCCCAGAGCCATTTAGAAGAAATTGTTTGCAATAAGTTTTTGATTGCAATTAATTTTTGATTGCAATCATTAATTGCATAAAAATTGCTAACTGCAATCTGTCTAAATGACATTTATTTTGATGAATAATTGGAAGTACGATAGTGAGGCACACAAGCCCTCAGTGAGTTAACGCATCGCATTAGCAGCGCAAAGTGAACCCCCTCACGGCATTACACCTAGCAGTAGGTTGTTTTGATTGCCGGCTTTAATGTTCCGCTAATCGAGAGCATATACAACGTGCGTGCATAAAAATTCGATTTTTTGCATGACAAATCTGCAACTAAACAGCACCTCCATTGTGTTTTTCAACCATCCCTAGTAGTATAACGTATCGATGGCTGAGTGGAAGATCGTCCTATCTCGGCAGCCAGTTCGAAAACGCCCTATCTCAGAAAATTTTTCAATAACGCTCTACTTCAGAATTTGATTTAAGAACGCCCTATCTCAGAATTCGGTTCAGAAACGCCCTATAGGGCGTCTTCGAACTGTTGCCCTATTGCAGGTCAACATGTTCCTGGGCCCCCCCCCCCAGTGGGATGGCCAGACGCTGTTCGCTGAGTGGCAAGACCACTACAGGAAGGCCCAGGATTTCCGGTGTTTGCCGTGCAGGCCTCCCGTCCAGAGCTATGTTTGTGCGTAGCATTGGCCTTTGGACTTCTCGGGCCAGCGGGTGCCTTGGTCCTACTGCTGGTGGGTGCGGGTGCACCTGATATCTGCTTCCGCATAGGGCTACTTTTGGCCAGGCCCTTTGGTACCGTGGCTTTACTTTGTGCAGAGTTTGTGACTCCTTTCGGCCTTTGTTTGGGAGCGCCGGACTCCCGTAGTGGAGTTGAAGTTTTAAGGTTTGGTGTTGTTGATTTGTGCATATTTTGTCCCACGAGGCGCGGAGAAAGGGAACGTCCGCACGGGCAGAGATCCCCTGTAGCCAGGCAAGGCTAGTTGGCTCCGAAGGACGCCCGGTATCCGGAGCACTCCGTTCGCGACTGGGCTTGGTGAAGGGCCCCCAGCCAGGATGATACTCGGCACGGGTCGTATGACACCTTGATCCGGCCCTGCAAAGAGAAGGGAGTGGAGAACTGGTGAGGAGTTTGGTCAGAAAGGGAATAATAGGCGTAGGGATTAAGGAGGGATCCCCGCTCGAATTAGCCGCCAGGGCGTTACCAGGTGTCACCACGGGGAGGCCCCTTATACTAGGGGGGTGCTAATCGCAATGCAATTGAACAACTACGAGTCCACGCTTTGGGATGTCGCGTGTGTTCAAGTCGATCACCCCCATCAAAGACACCCCAAAACGGTGCAACAACTACTCACTTGCTAGTTTTTACTAGTTTTATGTTCAATAACTTTTTCCGCTAGTTTTCTCGTTTTCTCAATTTCACGTTCTATTTTGCTCAATTTCTTTATTAAAAAAGCATGAATAAATTATTGCATTTTTGAGATTGCAATTAAAATGTTTGATTGAATCAGTGATTTGATTGCAATCACAATCATTGCAATCAAATGTGCTTACAATTAAATTGATTATAGTTTTTACAATCAGAAAAATGCAATAAATTTTGATTGTAATCCTATTAGTAGCACAATCATTGATTGCTAAAATAATTGATTGCAAATTTTTACAGCACTGACTCCCAGGGACGGTTATAAAATGGTGGATAAACCAAAAGGACTTAGCGGGCAGACTCGGGAGGTGGAGCTTAAAGCTACAGGCTTATGACTTTGAAATTCAGCATCCCAGGGGTCCCAAAACATCGTGCCGGATGCGCTGTCGCGAATTAACATGGAAGAGATGGCGATAAAGCACCGAATATTGAATGTATGCTTAGAATCACCATTTTTCAAGACGTACGAAAATCAGGAGCTTAAAAATACTGTCACCAGCAACCAAGTCAGGCTATCAGAACTTTGCATATCGGACGGCTATGTGTATAAACGGACGCAATTTAAAAGTGGGGATGACCTTCAGCAGGATGACGCCTGAAAACTCTGGGTGCCGACAGAAATGCGCCATTGGCTTGTGGAATCCTCCTATTATTCACCGTCTGTTGGTCACGGCGGACTTCATAAAACGTTGGCTCGCCTAAGACTATGGTCAAACAGGTACCTAGTTGGCAATTAAAAACCTTTTCACTAATTTAAGCCTTAATTGTTACCCAATTTATCATACAAAAATTCAAATTATAATTAATTGGCAATTAATTTGTGTCAGATTCTCTATGCAACCCTGCTAGGTATGTTTAAGCAGCTGTTTGTTTCTGGTCCTCTTTTACAGCTAATATTCCATCAGGGATGGAAAATTGAATTGTAAAATTTTACCTAATTTACAGCAAACTCTACCTAAAAGTAGATAGATGTAAAAAGTAAATATGTATTTCTTTACACTGAGGGAAGAAATTTTAAAATTAAAAGAACGTGCTAAATTTAAAAAAAATACGCATATGAAAGAGCACCAACCCAACTCGTTTTAAATCTGAGTATGTACGTTAAAAAATATGTCGTTGTGAAGTGCACAGATGCTTTTTCGTTATACAAAATTATAACTAAAGAAGAAAAAAAATTTTATGTTATGTTCCGTCTAATGGTAATTGAACGCGGACCCTCTTGGCAGCAACCAATTGTATCAAGCGTCTTTGCCCACTCAGCTACAGCCATACATGCAAATGTGCTTTCAAATGTTGAGTCTGAATCAACATCACAGCGCGCGATTAGTGCATTTTTACAGATAAACATGTACCATGTATGTGTGTATGTGTTGTCACCGCTGTGCATGCTTTGTATACATATACTTTCTTAATTACATATGAAAAAGAATCCGAGACGTGCANTAGTTTTTACTAGTTTTATGTTCAATAACTTTTTCCGCTAGTTTTCTCGTTTTCTCAATTTCACGTTCTATTTTGCTCAATTTCTTTATTAAAAAAGCATGAATAAATTATTGCATTTTTGAGATTGCAATTAAAATGTTTGATTGAATCAGTGATTTGATTGCAATCACAATCATTGCAATCAAATGTGCTTACAATTAAATTGATTATAGTTTTTACAATCAGAAAAATGCAATAAATTTTGATTGTAATCCTATTAGTAGCACAATCATTGATTGCTAAAATAATTGATTGCAAATTTTTACAGCACTGACTCCCAGGGACGGTTATAAAATGGTGGATAAACCAAAAGGACTTAGCGGGCAGACTCGGGAGGTGGAGCTTAAAGCTACAGGCTTATGACTTTGAAATTCAGCATCCCAGGGGTCCCAAAACATCGTGCCGGATGCGCTGTCGCGAATTAACATGGAAGAGATGGCGATAAAGCACCGAATATTGAATGTATGCTTAGAATCACCATTTTTCAAGACGTACGAAAATCAGGAGCTTAAAAATACTGTCACCAGCAACCAAGTCAGGCTATCAGAACTTTGCATATCGGACGGCTATGTGTATAAACGGACGCAATTTAAAAGTGGGGATGACCTTCAGCAGGATGACGCCTGGAAACTCTGGGTGCCGACAGAAATGCGCCATTGGCTTGTGGAATCCTCCTATTATTCACCGTCTGTTGGTCACGGCGGACTTCATAAAACGTTGGCTCGCCTAAGACTATGGTCAAACAGGTACCTAGTTGGCAATTAAAAACCTTTTCACTAATTTAAGCCTTAATTGTTACCCAATTTATCATACAAAAATTCAAATTATAATTAATTGGCAATTAATTTGTGTCAGATTCTCTATGCAACCCTGCTAGGTATGTTTAAGCAGCTGTTTGTTTCTGGTCCTCTTTTACAGCTAATATTCCATCAGGGATGGAAAATTGAATTGTAAAATTTTACCTAATTTACAGCAAACTCTACCTAAAAGTAGATAGATGTAAAAAGTAAATATGTATTTCTTTACACTGAGGGAAGAAATTTTAAAATTAAAAGAACGTGCTAAATTTAAAAAAAATACGCATATGAAAGAGCACCAACCCAACTCGTTTTAAATCTGAGTATGTACGTTAAAAAATATGTCGTTGTGAAGTGCACAGATGCTTTTTCGTTATACAAAATTATAACTAAAGAAGAAAAAAAATTTTATGTTATGTTCCGTCTAATGGTAATTGAACGCGGACCCTCTTGGCAGCAACCAATTGTATCAAGCGTCTTTGCCCACTCAGCTACAGCCATACATGCAAATGTGCTTTCAAATGTTGAGTCTGAATCAACATCACAGCGCGCGATTAGTGCATTTTTACAGATAAACATGTACCATGTATGTGTGTATGTGTTGTCACCGCTGTGCATGCTTTGTATACATATACTTTCTTAATTACATATGAAAAAGAATCCGAGACGTGCAAAACGCTATCCGTGCAGTGAAAAATGCTTCATTTTAATACAGGCGTATTTGTATTGAATATTTCCATTATACGTAGTGTATGTATAATGGAAAAATCCATTTTGTTAACACTTTTCATTTGATTTAAATACGAACATTTTTAAACGGTAATCAAATAAAAAATTTGAA